TTGTCTGGGGCTAAAAGTCGGCACTGATACACAAGTAGTGAGGTACCTATGAACACTGACTTGCAAGTTTCTTAAGTCTCGTATATATATATATATATATATATGAGACTAATTGGTTTAGAAAGTGAAACGTTTTCCCATTCTTGCTTAAAACTGAATTTCAGCTGCTTAATAGTTTAAGTCTCCTTTATCATATTTTTTATTTTATAATGCAGCAGATGTTTTCAATGGGTGACAGATCTGGACTGCAGGAAGGCCAGTTTAGCACCCGGACTCTTTTAATACAGAGCAATGCTGTTGTAATACATGTAGTATGTGATTTGGCATTGTTTTGCTGAAATAAGAAAGGCCTTCCCTGAAAAAGATGTTGAATGGCAGCATATGTTGCCAAAACCTGTGTATAGCGTTAATGGTGCCTTCACAGATGTACAAGTCACCCATGCCATATACACTAATGCACCCTCATATCCTCACGGATGCTGGCTTTTGAACTGTGCACTGATAACAAGCTGAGTTGTCATCATTGCAGCATCTGAACTTTTTTACGTGTGTGTGTGTACATTATTTTATATATATATATATATATATATATATATATATATATATACACGCATACACGCATTGGTTTTCATGACATCACAAAACTGAATTCAGTATTAACTATTTTAGCATTATAGTTTATATATATAGACTGTATGGACTGGGGTATGAATTATATGTTAGAAAACTTAAAAATAAATTATTTACGATTTGGCTTTTCGCAATATAAGATTTAAGTTCTCCTACAGGTCTCTCTTATGGTAAGAAACACATTTATTTGTATGTATGGTTAGCCACATTGATTATCTTTCTCCAGTAGAGTATTTTGGAACCTTTGGAAGGCATTGGATGGTTTGTTATTGTTCAGTTCATTTTTATTGTTTGGCCCTCTGATTATTTGGTTAATTTTTTAAAATAATCAGTAGATTACTTGAGTACTAATATAATGAACGGTGACAGCCCCAGACACTCATGGTTTAGTGCTTGAGTTGTATTTGACGGTGTAACGATTATGTTGCGGTTTTTTATTATATTTAAAAAATGTTTGAAAAAGGGAGCAGCATGATTACACATAGAACTACATGATTTTCACCAAAATATGTATAAATGCATATATGTGTTTGCCCATGATTCATGATTAATCAGCCTGCCCGAATCAAGAACAGGAATATTGCTCCTAAAATACCAGTGTTGCAGATCTCAGTGATTTAACAAACTATTTGCTGTAAGATTGCATCAGTGTGAAAAGGACAATTCAGTGGTATTGATTTTGGAATGTTAGAATGTATTATAATTTATTATAACAATATTCATCGAAGCATGCGGTGGGCAGTATGACGATACTTATCATTATTGTGATATTGATGTAATGTGATTAATTCTGTCTAACTGCTATGCTTTAATCCGCAAATATTGTAAATATTCAGACAAACTAAATATTGTGATGCTTGTTGTATTTCATGAAAATATCTTAAAATACCATGATGTTATATTTTGGTCATATTGCCCATCTCTAGCATACCCTCATGTTTTGACCAAAGCAAACAATTAAGACTATGTGTACGAAAATGTATTGTACCGTAATTATTGATTTCTCTACCATGTAAGCAGTTCCTCCAATCACATTTGTGTATTCCATTTACTTCTAAAAGTAATTCTAAATCTGTTTAAATCAATTCATGCTGAAATTTGAGACTTCATGTTTCACTGAATCATTTTCCTAAGAACTGAATTGTTGTGAGGCCAGAGATTTGCACCTAACTGTGAAGACCGACTTGATTGTGAGAAGATACTCCATCACTTACTGTTCTGTATGTCTGTAGTAGAACCTTCTTCTCACAAAGGAATGGAGGAAACATTCCCCCGTCCTTTTGGGATAGGCATGGTTGGGCTTTCTGTTGCTGTAGCAATGTACCACATGATCAGAAGGGCTGTATTAGATTGCATGGGACGCTGTGCAGTCAGCCATGGCTTCAGCATTCTCTCCACCATTGTGATCAGCCTTGTCTGTGTGGCAGTCTCTCTGAGATCTCTTAGTGGAGAACATGACTCTTAAAATCGCATGACTACAGATGTGTCCTCGTTGCACAGCTCTATTCAAAACATTTCTTGCAGAGATTCAGCTGAATTTGATTTTCTTTAGTTGTAAATGTGAGTTTTCTAATTTGCAGTTAGGACTGGGCAATGTATCATTTACAGTACCATGCAAAAGTAAGAGACCACCATTAATATATTTAATTTCCAGTCAAAGTGACTGTTAAGTACAAGTTATTCATTTTTCAGGAGTTGTTTCTGAGGAGATTAGATAAAAGATAATCCCCTTGCATAAGGAAGGGGAAAGTCAAAGGAAACTAGGTGAAAAAACAGAGCATTCTTAAAAGATATAGAGGAAATGCAACTTCTAACAACCGTGCAAGACCTTTTAACAACACTCTGTAAGCGTTTGGGAACTGAGGAGACCAATTGCTGTAGTTTTGAAAGTGAAATGTTTTCCATTCTTGTTTGATATAGGATTTCAGCTGCTTTGTCAGGTTATTTGTTTCATAGTGCGCCAAATGTTTTCTGCATGTGACAGGTCTGGACTGCAGGCAGCCCAGTTTAGCAACTGGACTCATTTACTACGCAGCCATGCTGTTGTAATACATGCAGAATATGGTTTGGCATTGTCTTGATGAAACAAGGAAGGCCTTCCCTGAAAAAGATGTTGTCTAAATGGCAGCATATGTTGCCAAAACCTGTATATATAGTGTTCAGCATTAATGGTGCCTTCACAGATGTACAAGTCACCCATGCCATGTGCACTAATGCACCCCCATACCATCATGAATACTGGCTTTTGAACTGATAACAAGCTGGGTGGTTATTAGCCCGGAGGATGCAGTGTCCGTGATTTACAAAAGGAATTTAAATTTTTTATTTGTCGGACCACAGGGCACTTTTTTCACGTTGCCTCAGTCCATCTTAACAGAGGCCCAGAGAAGACGGCAGCATTTCTGGATCCTGTTTATATGTTTATATTCTTCTTTGCATGCTAGACTTTTAACCTGCATATGTGGATGCAGTGGTGAACTGTGTTCCCAGACAGTGGCTTTCAGAAGTGATTTCCACTACAGAATCGTGTCTGTTTTTAATACAGTGCCCAAAGATCATGGCCAGCTAATATTGGTTTTTGGCCTTGTCCCTTGCATACAGAGATTTCTCTGGGTTATCTGAATCTTTTAATGATATTATGTATCCTAGATGGTCAAATCCCCAAGTTCTTTGCTATTTAACATTAACATTAGGAGAAGCGTTATTCTTGAATTGTTGCACTGTTTGCCTGCACAGTCTTTCGCAGAGTGGTGAACCCATCCCCATCTTTACTTCTAAAAGACACAGCCTCTCTGGGATGCTCTTTTTTTATACCCAGTCTTTTACACTCAGTATACCCTTTACTGACCTGTTGTTAATTTAGCATGCAGTGTTTTTTAGAATTACATAACTTTCCCATTCTTTTGTTGCCCCTATCTTAACTTTTTTGAAACGTGTTGCTTGCATCAAATTCAAGATGGGCATATATTTTTCAAAAAACAATAGAAATTTCTCAAACCTTTGATATGTTGTCTTTGTATTATTTTCAATTAAATATAAGGGTTAATGATTTGCACATTGCTTTCTGTTTTTATTCAGATTATGCACAGTGTCCAATTTTTTTTGGAAAAAGGGTTATGTGACCCATATAACCACATAGGCTCAGGATTGCTTTGGCAAACCTTTGTCAAGCACTACAATACATAGTTACATCAAAAAATGCCAGTTAAAACTTTACTGTGCCAAAAGGAACTGTTATGTTAACCATGTCCAGAAGTGCCATCAACTTCTTTGGCCTTAGAGGCATCTGGGATTGACCATCACACAGTAGAAACATGTATTGTGGTCAGGTGAATTAGTATTTCAGCTCTTTTTTGGAAGAAATGGATGCTGTGGTCTACGGGCCAAAAAACGAAAGAACCATTCAAACTGTTACCAGCATCCAAAAGCCGGTCCAAAAGCCAGGGCCTGTCATGGTATGGGTTTGGTGTCAGTGCCCTTGGCAAAGGTAACACTTCTGTGAGGGCACCATTAATGTCGAAAAGTACATAAAGATTTTGGAGCAACATATGCTGCCTTTGAGACCACATATTTTCCAGGAACGCCAATGCATGTTTCAACAAGACAGAAAAAAACACATCCTGCACACATTATAAAGGCATGGCTGTGGAAGATGAGGATGCAGGTGCAGGACTGGCCTGTCTGCAGTCCTGACCTGTCCAAAATATAGAATGTGTGCACATTTTAAAATGCAAATCAAAAAGCGACAACAAAGACCCGATACTGTTGCACACTTTAAAACTTGTTTGCTAGAAGAATGGGACAAAATTGCATCTGAAACACTTCATCACTTGGTGTCTTAAGTCCTTAAACATATTTTAAAAGTTGTGAAATGGAATGGCAATTTGTTTGTGAAAAAACAATAACATTCATGAGGTAAAACATTAAATAATGTGCTGTTGTATAGTTTTCAGTGTCATACAGATCAAAAAAATATTATTTCTGTCAGTATTGATAGATAATACCTATTTTGCTGGGTGCTTCTATTTTGAAAGAACAAAAATTAAACAAATAGTATTTTTCCTGTTTGGAAATTTGGTTTGTGCCTGCTTAAAGTTTACAATATTGAGACATTCCTTTAGCAAAGAGTAGTGCTACTCAGGAAACATGTGTTCATTAACTTCATTAATGCAAACTATAATATCATACAGTACAGTGATATGGTAATATAGTAAGAAAATATTTTAATATTGATTTCTACAGCCTAGCACTTCTTGCAGTTAAAGCTTATGGAAAGAATTATCAAGTTTTGACTGCTGGATAAACCGTACATTTAACTGTATTTTTAATGTCTCAGAAGTTCTTATTTTCCATTGTGGTCTGTTGCGCAGAATGATTGAGGACCATAGCAGCAGCACTATGGCAGACAGAAGACAAATGTTTGCCGAGATGCGTAAGTGTCACAGTGTATTTTAGTTAATATCTACACATACAGTTGAACACTTGCACTGCTAAAAAAATAAGTCCCATGCTTTACAAATGTGTGAAGTTTTGATAGTTGAATATTAGTATAATACACTAACATTTCTGATTTTATAGGTGCTCTAGAGTTGGATTCCATCAGGTTGTCCACCTACAGAACGGCATGCAAGCTCAGATTTGTTCAGAAGAAGTGTAATTGTGAGTATGAATTGCAGTATCCTAAGTGTCAAATGTTAGCCAGTAAAAACGGATTCTGTTCCTGCTAGAGAACCTTTGATCAAATCAATGTAAAACTGAATTTTAAAAAAAGTGTCACTTTTACTGTAAACATGAACATATACAGGTATGGCCCAGTGCGTTCCCACAGTAAAAAAATACTTAGAAAAAGATATTTACAAGGATTATTTTATGATTTATTTAAGCCTAAGATATTAATACATATAGTAATAAGCTAAACATATACAAGATCATCATTTATAAGTAATTCTATTGGGAGGTGGCTGTCCCAAACCCTATCCCCTACATTTCAACCCTATCCCCTACATTTCAAACTTCTGGTTTAGTTAATTTAGTAAACCTGCTAGCAGAACCTCATGTAATATAATAAGCTAAACATATACAAGATCATCATTTATAAGTAATTCTATTGGGAGGTGGCTGTCCCAAACCCTATCCCCTACATTTCAACTTTTGGCTTTCTTTTAAACATTTTTAATGTTGTTTCTGAAGGTGAGGTTAAAAGACTTCAATGTATTATGGCTTTATTTTTTAAATAGAGAAATCCTTATTCAAGAAATGCTGTTCTACTTTTTTATTAGTTTGTAACAGATATCATGATGTAGCTTATATTACTCTCCAGTGCAAGCAGACATGAATAAATACAGTCAAAATTACAGTCAAAAAAGCACAGGTGTAGTCATTGTCACACCAATTGAGAAAAATAAGTAAAAATAATTAAGGCCATTCAACACATTGAATCCTTAAGGGCTGATGCAATCGCATTCCATACCAATTCTGTGGCTGATTTAGCATTTTTTTGTCATTGCAGTAAGGAAGTCTTCTCAAGGGAATCAATATCATGCTGAAAAAAATTGCCACATATTTGTATATTTGGATTTAAACAATTTTGTATCATAGGCTTTTTTAGCAGTGGTTAGACTAGCAAAGATTAATCATTTTTGAGCTATTGTGAAGGTGAAAGAGCTATCATCATTTAATTAACAGCAAAAAGAATTTTTGTCGGTAGGAATTTCAAACACCTGAAACAATGTACACCCCAGAACTTGATAGTTTCACACTGGATGAGCTGGTGTCTACAAACTTCTGGTTTAGTTAATTTAGTAAACCTTCTAGCAGAACCTCATGTGATAACTACCCATTGTGATGTTTGTAATCTTACATTGTGATTTTATATTCTTCTGTCTTCTTTTGCCCACAGTGCACTTGGTGGATATCTGGAATGTAATTGAAGCATTCCGAGAGAATGGCCTTAACACCATGGACCTCAACACTGAGTTTTCAGTGGCCCGACTTGAAGCAATATTGTCTACCATCTTTTACCAGCTGAACAAGCGCATGCCCACCACACACCAGATCAATGTGGAGCAGTCCATCTTGCTACTGCTCAACTTCTTGTTGGCTGCTTATGACCCGTGAGTTCTCTCTGTTTGTTCAGAAAGTGACCCTCGGTGTTAAGTTTGATTGTTGCCTCATGAACAAGGGGGAGGCTGCTCACGCTGTCCTGACTGTCCACACAGCATTATGAGAAAAGTGTCTTCACCCAAGAAGTTCTAGCCCAGGAATGATGTTGGTAATTGATAATCACCATACAATTGCATCTTAAAAGACATACCCTAGAAAAGTTATATTTTTGCTTGCATTAAGCTTGCATTATCTTATATACACTTTGTGTTTGGTTATTATAATGGGTAAACAGTGGAAGTGGAGTTTCATAAGACACCATTGATGGGTTTATATGATCCCCTTGCTCTTGTGTTACTCCAACCTTACTAATGCATGTTGTGTGGTCGAAATGAATACACGAAAGGAAGTAGAGTGGTGAGGGATTAGGGGGCTAACAGAGCCAGTGTTTTAGTGTTTTGGGTGCACGCCAGTTGTGTTTCAGATTCACAACCTCAAATGCAATCATGGACTAAATGTACATGATGTTTCAAATAGACTATTGAATATGATACTTTTACACTTCTACTTTTTTACACTTTTACTCTTTAAGAAAACTACTTAAAGACTACTCTTTAAAGACTAATCTTTAAGAAAACACTCAATAACTTTCTATTGCAGGGAGGGTCAGGGCAAGATTTCAGCATTTGTGGTGAAGATGGCCCTTGCAACATTATGTGGGGGAAAGATTTCGGACAAATTAAGATGTAAGCGCCACCTTGAATTTTACCTTTAGACTGACTCATTTTCCTTAAAGTAATGTTGATTGATGACAACTTAAACTATGGAGCTAAATTTACCCTTTTTATCATAATTTGATAAGGCCACAGAAACTGTCATTTTCTTGATAGTCATTTTCAGTTATTAAACAGGACCTTGACCTTGTTTAGTATCTCGTCAAAGGTATTGGTTAATGTTTAACTTTTGGGACGTTCTCTAACATTACTTTCACGTTCCTAAAAACTGTGCATATATTAACGGCACACTTCCATAGCCATCAATAATATTTTTTAATATAATCCAAATCCTGTTAAACATACACTTAGAAGCATTTTTCAATAGTATGTACCAGAAATTCTGAAAGACATTGTTCTCTCACACAATAGTATCTGTATTCTCATTCCAGAAAATTGAAAGCGAAAAACTGCAAATTTTAATTCTGCTATAAAATCAAAATCTTAAAATATATATAAACTCACACACTTCTAAATATACGCATGAATTGAGTATGTATGTTCTGCCTTTTTTCCTTTTCTTTTTCCAGATATTTTTTCTCAGATAGCGGACCCCAAAGGAATAATGATTTATTCGCAATTTGACCAGTTCCTAAGGGAGGTGCTTAAGCTGCCTGTCACAGTTTTTGAAGGACCATCTTTTGGCTACACTGAGCAGACCACCAGAACATGCTTTCCACAACAGGTAGGTAAACATTTATTATTAACATTTTACAGCAGGGGTATTCAACTGTAACTTGCAAAGGTCCAGTTACATCAAATTTCTTATATATATATATATATATATATATATATATATACACGCACGCACACACCAATCAGGCATAACATTATGACCACCTCCTTGTTTCTACGCTCATTGTCCATTTTATCAGCTCAACTTACTATATAGGTGCACTTTGTAGTTCTACAATTACAGACTATAGTCCATCTGTTTCTCTGCATACTTTCTTAGCCCCCTTTTACCCTGTTCTTCAGTGGTCAGGACCCACACGAGCAGGTACTATTTGGGTGGTGGATCATTCTCAGCACTGCAGGTATGAGTGGATCTGACACAGCAGTGCTGTTGGAGTTTGTTTGTTTGTTTTTTGTTTTTTTTTTTAAACCCAGTTTTTTCCCCAATTTAATCGTCTCCAATTCCACCCACTAGTTAGGACTCCCTCAATCACACGATACTGCCAACCCTAGGAGGGTGAAGGCTAGCACCGCATCTTTTCGAAGTGCTGCTCACGCAACGTCATTGGACATTGGATGTGCTCGGAGGAAAGCGTCAACCGCCAGTTCTGTTATGTCAGCTAACAGAAGTCTGCGCTGACCAGCATCGCGTTGAGTGATGGGGGGAGAAGGGGGGCCATCCTACTCACCCAGAGAGAGCAAGGCCAATTGTGCTCTCTTGGACTACTGGCTGTAGCAGCTGCTGGAGTTTTTAAACACTGTGTCCACTCACTGTCCACTCTATTAGACACTCCTACCTTGTCAGTCCACCTTGTAGATGTAAAGTCAGAGATGATAGCTCATCTGCTGCTGCACGGTTTGTGTTGGTCATCCTCTAGTTCTTCATCAGTGGTCATAGGACGCTGTTGGCTGGATATTTTTGGTTGGTGGACTATTCTCAGTCCAGCAGTGACATTGAGGTGTTTTTAAAAATTCCAGCAGCACTGCTGTGTCTGATCCACTTGTACCAGCACAACACACACTAACACACCACCACCACATCAGTGTTACTGCAGTGCTGAGAATGATCCACTACAATTACAGAAATATGTGGCATTATCTGCTTTCTGACATTATCTTTTCCTGTAGCTAATTTTTGCTACACTACAGAAGCAGCGCTGGTTCATGCTCATGTATGATCACTGAAATATCTCATCTTATGTATGTTAATCGGCTTTGATTTATTTCAAGTGCTCGGTTAGGTTCACTGAAATCTTTGTTGGGTTTGCATCTGGACCACGATCTGCCAGTTGACAACCCCTGTTTTACAGGTTTCAGGACTTTTTATTTGATAAATTTGTAGTAATTTAGCTAAAGACAGACTCAAACTTTCAGAATATTGGTGGATTTTGAGAAAAAAAAAAATTGGCTCTCTTCAAGCTTTCCACATGAAAATGATTGGCACTGCAGATTTATGTTTTTTCCAAAATTTCCTGATTCAGTGAAAAGGCTAATTATCAAGCCTATTGTGTTTGGTAGCAGGTGTGTTACAGCAGTGAAGACTCCAAACTGATAATAAACAAGTTTGTATTTTAATTAATACATCGTATAAGCCCAAAAATTCTTATTATAAATTAAGCCCTTGGGTCTGCTGGTGATCACTGGCCTTTTGTGTTTTGTTAAAGAAACAGATTTCCTTGAACATGTTCCTGGATGCCTTCATGTCTGATCCTCCTGCCCAGTGTCTCGTCTGGTTGCCCCTCATGCATCGGCTTGCTAATGTGGAGAATGGTAAGGTTTTCATTTTTGGCTAGTGTGTTTATTCCATTATCCAAAACATGAACAAATGCAGTATTAAAGCTGTCATTGCCAGTATTTAAGCACATTTTTACCGACATCTGTTAAGGGTATAGGGATTTCAATGCCTATTGAATTTGAAATCGAATGTGAAACTGTGTATAAAGTGTTAAAACTGTATTGGCAATACGCCCCGCGGTCTCTTCTGAGGGTCTTTCAGGGAAACCACGGTCAATGATCAGAACTCAGCATCTGGGTACAGCCAATCAGAGCAAAGTGTGCAAGGAGGAGGAGGGGCTTATATTATGCAGGCATGCACACTCAAATGACCTAAAATGTAAATCACAATATAATTTAAGAATTCTGACCATTTCAGCATAAATCACAGTGTTTATACAACATTAATCTGAATTAGTTGAAACTGCATCCTTACAAAAAAAACAGCAAAACAACAAATTATTCAAAATTAGATATTTACAAGGACTCTGTTGTGATCTACTTAAACCCATGGCATTAATTGAGATAGTAATAAGCTAAATATGTCCAAACACATTTATTCATACATATACTTCAACATATGAAAAATATTTTTTTGTCAAAATACCTTTTTTGATATTTTCAAGTGAAGTCAAAAGATTTTGATTTCTCATGAGTTTAACCTTTAAATAAAAAAAAATTATTGAAAAAATGCCATCCCACATTTTCTCTACCGACACACAAATGCTGTGTCCGAAATCACTGTACCCTACATTGGAAAATCTGGATCACTATAGAGAACACTATTTTAGAGAACAGAATTTGTGATGATAGTGAATGATTTCGGGCACTGTATCCTTCGGGTTTGTTTGTTACTGTACAACAGTAGATTCCGTTGCGTAAACACTATAAACGTCTTGCCACCAGTTCACTATAACTGTGAAGTTTGACTGCATAAATGAGAAGAGTCTACATACATTTGTTACATGTCTGAAAAGAGGTCTGCGGAGGTGCTGTCATTGTAGCTGGGCTCGGTAATCCTGCTGAGAGAAGTTGCGTGTGAATCTTCAAAACAAACAATTCAGTGCATTATAGGTATCCCCTATCCGCTAGTGGAATTCTTTGAGTGCACTGAATCTTTTGCACTGTGTTCTCGAACACTACTACAAAATAGTGGAACCCCAAAATAATGCAAAGGGAACAGTTTCAGACACAGCTGAAGAGGTTTAGTTCATAGACGGAGCCTTATTTTAGCCAGGCACCTGCATTTTAGAGCAGGAAGTGAGACAAATTCTTCTAAATTGGAGATCACCCACTCCTCCCAAAGCAGCACAATGGTTAAAAGATCTCATGTTGTTTATATATTTGGAAAATATTAAATATACTATTAGAGGATCCAAAAAAACTTTTATTATTTACTTGGGAATCATTGCTTACCTATTTTTCACACATTTAATCACTCCCTACAGAATAATGTATTATTTTTAGTGTGCTTGAGGGCCAGGCCCATCCTCTCCATCCTTAAAAGAAAGGGGAAAAAAAACTGTTCATATGTGGCTTGTAGAGTTTGTTTCCTAATCTAGAGCAGATACTAATAATTTAGTGGCTGCCATTAATATTTTTATTATTGCTGTATTCGGTGTCCTGTTGACATTGAATATATGTATTGGGACACCTACACTATACACCTACAGGAGCTTTTATGACATCCCATTCTAAATCCATAAGCGTTGAAATTGAGTTGGCCCGCCATTTGCAGCTATAACAGCTTCCATTCCTCTGGGAAGCTTTCTACAAGACTTTGGAGTGTGTCTGTGGGAAAATTTGCCTATTCATCCAGAAGATGAACGATTCAAAAGAAAGTTGGAAGCACACAGTTGTCCAAAATGTCTTGGTATGCTGAAGCATTAAGATTTCCCTTCACTGAAACTAAGGAGCCTATGCCAACCCCTAAAAAACAACCCCATAGCATTATCCCTCCTCCACCAAACTGTACAAAACGTTCTCCTGACATTCGTCAAACCCAGACTTGTCCATCAGACTGCCAGGTAGAGCAGTGTGATTCTCACTCCACAGAACATGTTTCCACTGCTCCAGAGTCAAGTGGCGGCGTGCTTTACACCACTCCATCCAACGCTTGGCATTGTGGATTTTGATCTTGTGTGTGGCTTGTGTGTAACTGCTCAGCCATGAAAACCAATTTTGTGAAGCTCTTAATGCACAGTTCTTGTGCTGATGTCACTTCCAGATGCAGTTTGGAACTCTTTGGTGAGTGATTCAACAGAGGATAGGCACTGTGTGCTTCAGCACTCAGCGGCCCCACTCTGTGAATTTGCGTGGTCTACCTTTGTGGCTAAGCTGTTGTTCCTAGATGTTTGCATTTCACAATAATAGCGCTTACAGTTGACAGGGGCAGATCCAGCAGGACAGAAATTTCACAAACTGATTTGTGGCATCCTATGACATATATATCTACAAGGCTGAAGTTAGCTTCTTGTTCATCAACTTTTTGTTCAAATTCTCCATTCCACCTTAAATGGAGCAGCAGTTACATCTGTACAGGTACCTAAATGTAACTGCTACACAATTTATTTGTGGAATGGTAAATTTGAATAAAAGGACAACTTCAGCTTTGTTGAATATCTCAAGTCACGTATCTCATACAAGTGTCCCATACTATGGCCTTGTGTGATGCAGATGACCAAGTCAGGAAGCCTCCAAGGCTGTATGAGAGGAAACAGCTCTGGTGCCAGAGAGAGGAAACTCTGATGTCTGTAAGGCTATGGCTAACCCAAAAAATACCGGCCATTCCTTAATGTCTGTCGCCTGTTGTCTGGGGATGCAGCGGACTAGACAGCGGGCAGTGATCCAGGGACTGCTTTATTTCATTTTCATTTGAAATATGACACTAACGTTCCAGTTTTAGCCAATTGATCAATCAGGCTAATGTTAGCTTGGTTTGCACGGTATGTATGTTGCGTTATCTGTGCTAATTTGTGCTGTATCAGTATAACAATAATGACAAAATACCAGAGGAAGAATTTTAGCTGGTATACTGCCCACTACTAGTTGAAGCCCATACAAGACAAGGTCTAATAATAGCTGCATTGTGAGATGACAATCTGATCATCAGTGTTGAATTTAAATGTGATTTGCCTAATTTTGGTCTGTCATCTTGCTTGCATGATTCTTGCTATGCTCCTTTGACCCCTCTGATCAAAAAGCTATTTTCATACACTAATTATGGATAGTGTATTTATTTATTTATTTATTTAGCTCCTGACATCATTTTTGGTAAACCATTTAAACAATATATGAGTCATTCCATGAGACTGGTGCCAAATGAACATGCAAGTTCTTTTTCTTTTTCATGCTTTTAATGTCAAAAAAACCTTTTTCAACCATAGTTTCAGATTCACAGATTTTTCCATCTCAGTGCCTATTTTTTCTGTGTGAATGTGACTGCGAGTTCTCCTTTTAAAAAAACAGACAATTTCCTCCAAGTCTGTCTGCATCTGGTTTTATCTTCTAAATAAACACAGTTTCTTGCACAGCCATTTCAGTGCTCTTATACTATAACAATCTGGTGCTGATATGCCAGGAGACAGGGAGACTGAGTATGTTTTATTGGTAAAACTGATATAAATGTATAACTCTACCAACTCCTCATTTTAACAGGAGGAGGTTGCTACCTTCATGTTGCAAACCCTTTGGCCACAATATTGCGACTTTTCCTGGTATTTAATGGCATTTTAATGTCGTAATTCTATGACTTTATTCTCGAAATATTATGACTTTATTCTCAAAGTCTACTTTTTTTTTTTTTAACAGTGACCCTAAAACACCATCAAACAGTACATTATTTTTAAGGCTAAACATTTTAAGGCTAGGTAATGAATGTTTTTATAATGATCGTGTATATGTGCTGCTCATATGGAAACATATACATCTGAGCATGGCAAAGGTTTGATCTGAATACTGTAAGTTAGTAATATTTGAGATGGAACTACACGGGCAAGTAAAAGTGCCTGCATTCCTAGAAAACAGAATCTCTTTTCCCCACTTGCAATAAATATTTTTTCCCCACTTGCAATAAAAGATTCATATATTTAAGCTTGAAAAATACTTTCCTACAAAAAGCTGAAGGATGCCCTGCGGCTCGAATCAGATGTGAAATGCGGCCTGATGTCCTTGTAATCAGGGAGGTGTGGGGTGGCTGTAAGACAAGAACGGCCCAGATCAGTGCTGCTCTTGTAAGAAACAAAAAGAGACATAAGGGTTGGGAATTGGACGCAATTAAACTGAATGAAAAAGCAAAGGCACATAAAAAATGGTGGCACCAGCTACTTAATTTTTTTTCCCTCGTCTCTAGTCTTCCACCCAGTGGAGTGCTCCTACTGCCACAGCCAGAGCATGATGGGATTTCGTTACCGCTGCCAACAATGTCATAATTACCAGCTCTGTCAGGAGTGCTTCTGGAAGGGCCATGCCTCCGGCTCCCATAGCAACCAACACCAGATGAAAGAATACACATCCTGGGTAAGAGGGTGACGGGTGTGTGTTTGTGTCAGGTTAGGTGATGGTGCTGTTTGTTCAGATAATGAAACTGACTTTGAACAGAGTGTGTGTTTGCAGCCAAGGGCTCACTGATTAGACTACCATGGCTGTAGACTTAATACTGCATATTTAAAGGAAAACTCCTAACTCCTAATCTGTCACATTCAGATTACACCATAGATTACAACAGACTAAGTTTCCTGACTAAGCTCCCTACCCTGACTAAGTTCCCTATACAAAACCGGTTGGCATGCATTCTGTTGAAACACATTTATAATAGAATCCAATGGGATGGTGCTGAAGCAGCTGCCTATTGGCATCTTTTATAAGTATGTTTTTGAGTCAGTGGGATTTTTTTTTTCTTAGTACAAGCAAACATGCTGAAATAGCAAGACCAAGATAAAAACATAGAAATATATGAAAAACACCCATTCATACCCCAAAATGTAAAAGGAGATGACTTCTTATCAGAATTTAAATAGAAAAAAAAAATCAATAGGAAAAGTCAGGATTACAGGAAAGATAAAAGGACACTTAATTAAGACAATGAATAAAAATAGAGAAACATCTTAAAAGGTCAATACATCCATATAAATACATCTCACATGCAAAGGCACAAAGAAGACTAAAACTCAAAAATCGAATGAGAGATAAAAAAGGGGAGGGGAAAAAAGAGAAAGAGGGAAATAGAGAAATAAGTGAGGTGCAAATCAGATGTAAATGTGACAGCTGATGCTTACAATTGCTGATTCATCATTACATAGAGTGGAGGCTTGTATTGGTTTATAAATATACACTGTATAGGCCACTGAAGTTCCTCCACACCAAACTCGTCCAACCATGTCTTTATTGAGCTTGCTTTGTGCACAGAGGCACAGTCATGCTGGAACAAGAAAGGGCCTTCCCTAAACTGTTGCCACAAAGTTGGAAGCATATAATTGTCTTTGCATGGGGCCTAGCCCAAACCCTAAAAAACAGCCCCAGGTAAGCTTTTGTTGCTCCTAGACACTTCCAGTAATAGCACTTTGGAGAATGGCATAAATAAGTCCTTATCTCATCCTTAGTAACCTTCTTATGGTGCAACCACTTTCCCAGGCCCGGGATGTCCATGAAGAGAAGAAACATCACGCAAACATACTACCGGACAGAGACATGAGCCCAAAAAATAAAAAAAGTTATACTATGGATGAACACACAGTTCATTCTTCAAAATGTCTAAATTTTGGCATTTGATCATGTAACATTTGTCAATTTACAAAAAAGTATGCATCTTTCATTGATTTTATTGTGGTCAGTTGCAATTCGTTCAGCAGTTATCAACACCAGGTATGCAGATGTGCAAAGAACTTGCATCTTTGCAAAATCTTCAGAAAGTCTTTTATAGTGAAGTACTGTTTGGACAAAAAGGCCGCTTCCTTAAACTTTTTATCTCTGTGGAACCACTGGTGGTTCCAAAACCCACTTCGTCATATTCTTTACTTCATAACTTTCATATTTTATAAGCTACGTTCAAAAGGTGGGTGTCATATGAGAGCTGTAACTGTCTTCTTTCCAGTCAAATAGATGGGTAATGTAATTTTAAAACTTTATAATAAAAGAAACTAAACTCACATTTTTTTTCTACTGAAAGTTGACCCATTTTTCCACATATCTGAGCTATAAACTGGATCTCAGATGGTGTCTCTTCAGTGATATGCACTGTAAAAAAATATTTTTATAAAAAAAAAAAAATACAAAGATTTTTGGCTTTCAGCAGTAAATTGTAAGCATATGGCATTATGTTTATGATCATAAAACAGATTTTCTGTTCATTTGAGGGAAGCTTTTACACCAACATTACATTTATTTCATGCAGTTACTAAATAATTTTCCTCGGGATTTGGGCATGTAAATTCAGATGGAAAAAAACGAATTATACTCTGATTAAGTAGGGAGTCATATGTGCTTTTGATCTGTACAAATTTTTAAATTGTGTTCTTTGTTTTTGGGTCTCGTATAAATGAGAAAGGACTTGCATGGGCCAAAAAGTTATAGTTTAAACCAAATAAAGTACTTCATTTTGGAATATAAAGTCAGTGATTGTTGTACCTTTTTCCTAATATGAGTACTGCTCGGACACATTTGTTTGCTTCCAGAAATCTCATGCAAAGAAGTTGTCAAATGCCCTGAGTAAGTCTCTGAGCTGTGCTTCCAGCCGAGAGCCACTACATCCCATATACCCTGATGCTCCTGAGAAACCTCTAAACCTTGCTCATATTGTGTAAGTAAACCTCAAACATGTAAAAGACCTCTTAACGTGTAAAAGAATCCTTTTTGACACCTCTTACAATAAGCTTTAAACATATAAGTAAACCTAAATGTTACCTGTCTGACTTAGTCCTGTTCACTGTTACTGCTATGACGTAGTAGGTCCTACAGTGGTAAAATACATTTTTACACTGACACTTACACTGTTTTTACTGACAACTTGAGTATAATGGCTGTAGGATTTAGTCAATGATATTCATTCATTAAGAAGTTATGTAATTTATTTAGTCCTGGACCCTCACAATAAACCTTCACAGTGCATTTATGATTGTCTAATGCATTCCTAACATTTTGCTGCTTTCTTTTTGCTTTTTGCAACAAAATAGGGACACTTGGTAAGTTGATTATATGTTACATTAACAACCTCAGTTTCCAAAAAAATGTATCATGCTAATAGTAGTAGCAAACCTTTATATGCTGTAAAGATACATACATACACAGAAGTGCTCTCCCTTCCTCTCTCTCACTCTCTTACTTTCTTTTTCTCCCACTGTCTGTCTCTCTCTCTCTAACTCTCTCTCACACGTACACACACACACACACACTCACTGTGACTCTCTTTTTCTCTAACTTTCTCTCACTCTCTTTCTTCTCTCTTACTCTTTCTCTCTCTAAATTATTCTCTCACTCTATCTCTTTTCTCTTACATTTTTTCTCACTCTTCTTCTCTCCCTCTCTTTTCCTCTCCTTCATGCCCCCCCTTTCTGTTCTGTGATTGTTTTGATGCATTGAGTGTGCTGCAGGCCTCCAAGGCCAGTGAACAGTGGGAATGAGTACATGTTGTGTCACTCCATGCCTTCAACTAGCAACCCTTACTCCAGCAGAGTGTGAGTAAAGCCTCTCCTTACGCACACCATTGGACTGTTCAAAATCACCTATAAACATGCATAACAACAAAGCCTTGACAAAGACTTACCCTGTATTTGTAGTTCTTCTATAGCAGTATATCTACATCCTGCTCCCAGGGACCCACTATCCTGTACAGATCAAACTACATTGTAAAAGAAAAAGAAGTCAGGTCAGCTTGAGATTTTGAAGCTTTTTGCTCTCAACTTAATTTAGTCAAAAGTTGTCCTGCTTTGTACTTTTAGTACTCCATCTAAGTTAGACTGACAAAGTCCAGGTTAAGTTGAGCTTACTCAGAAAAAACAGTGAACAAGGTTCATGTTTCACATACTGCATTGCACTAAATGCAGTTAGCACTGATTATTATCTCTTCATAATGGAACATGTTGTACATCAGTGTTCTTTAAGTACTGACACTGATAGTGTATTGTGATGCAACTTAAGCCTAAGTTTATCCTTTTCTTCTACATTCGTCCAGAGCTCCACCTACAAGCACCATGCTGAACTTTTTTAAATACTTTGCCTGCTTTCAATACACCTGAATCAATTCATCATCTAATTAATAAAACCTTCATGAGTTTAAAATGGTGCATCAGAGCAGGGAAAACACTAAAATGCAGTTCAAGCATACTCCAGGACCAACACGGAGAACACTTCTTTATATTACTGCAAATAAATCTACACAGTAAAATCTAATGAGTCTGCAGTAATAGAACAGTTTAAGGTAATGTTTGTAGCTGCTGCAGAATTGAAACAGTGCTTATAGTTAGGAGCCAGAGTGTTAAATGTCTTTATATGTTGTAGGTGATTTGTGTGTTTGTATGTACAGGATTGTTTATCCCTATTTTGATCCCACTCTTTTACTGGTGTAACTAGAGGTGCAAATGATGATGTGAAACAGAGAAAGCTCCTGGCTAGAGCTGCCCCGGACCTTTTGAAAGGGAAAGGGTAAGTTCTCAGTGTATCCCAAAAGCATGAACTAACCACATGGAAAGGAGCAGGGAGGTTTGCTTTTAGTGTTTAGGTTTTATAGACACTAAAGACTTTTTTATTAAAGCTGTCAATTCATCAATAATCATTGATAATTATTATCTATGGTTCAAATTGATCAAGGTTTTGTTTTTTTATGAACAAAAGATTAAGATGCTTTGTCACAGATATTACAGTAAGTGAAATTTTATTTTCTGTTGGTTATTTGTGTTTGTAGTTAAGGGCTGAATCTCAAATGGCTCCCTACTCTCTATATAGTGGACTGCATAAGTCATAAACCTATGGCTTCCACACCCAAACAGTGCACTAAATGTTAGCTGGAGAGTCATACAGTTGATGGCCAAATAAAAATGGCTTTTTGTTGAACATATAAAGCAGTATTTTGGTGTAGAAGTCATCACCTACATAGCGCACTACATGAGGAGTAGATTTTGAGCCATTTGAGACTCAGCCAAAGTGTCTTTAAATTTGAACGCGATGTCTGTCTATTTAATTCAACTGAACTTCAGTCAACTACTGTTTTTGATAAGAGTTGTGCAGGATGTTTGTTTTTACTGATAAAAACACACTCATTGCTGGGGTAAATGGATTTAAACTATTTGTTTATGTGCCTATAACGTTTGCACAGTACTGTGTATATGCATTGCTTATTGTACTTTTAAGGATATTTCTTAATCTTTACTTGTTGTAATTAAGACTTTGTCATCCCCTCTGGCACAAACAGAAACCTTCCAAGACAGAAAAACAGGAAAAAAAAAAGAAACTGTGAAATATCTTTAGTGTTAAATAATAAGAAAATTATTTTGAAACCACAATATTATTATTTATCAATTATCTTAGTATGTCAATATTACATTTTTCATACTTGCCCTGCCTTAATTCAGCTGTGTTTCATACATAGTCTACATATTTTCAGATATTTAGTTTCAGTATTAGCTGTCAATAATTGACTGTAGCGCAACATTTTCCAATGTTTTTTAAATGTTTTTTATTAATATTATTATTAGCAGTAAGGCAGTAAGGTTAATGTCAGTGATCTAATATGTGTTTATGAAACACCTTTTTCAGGGTTCAGTACAGCTTTGATATTGCAGACAGACTTGCAGATGAACATGTCCTCATTGGGCTATATGTGAACCCCCTCCAAAAGAGCCGCTCATGGTTAGTGTGACCAGCATGGCTGTAGTTGCACTGGAGGTTTCTCTCTTTGTCTACCTCTGTAGTCACCATCTCAATCTAATCATAACATCTATTTTGGCACTAAACATAATGAATCTTTAAGATTGAAGTATTACAGTGGTAAAGTAAATGCTAAACCTGCAAATGGACATTGCGAATTTGACAATACATTTGGTATAAACATGTGATCTTCATATTTAGATGAATCTAACAGATTCTTCTGAGTTAAAGTGCCACCAGATGTGGAATAGTAGCAATTTAGCCATTTGCAGCTTGCGAAAAGGCAAAGCTTATGTAGGAGGCTACATGCAATTTTTCCTAATAACATTTAAGTACATTAAATGCTTTTTACTTTGACAAAGATTGATCTTCCATTGATCAAAACTATTTTTAGTTTAGTTTGTGCTGACTATTTTGATCTTCTAGCTAACAAATCATTGACATACATATGAGTGTTCATTTATGCATTACAATTTTTAATGTAGGGCCTTATTCCTGTGAACGATTTGTGGCTGATTTCAAAGGGCTTGCCATTAAAATGTCCAATAATATTGGCCACTATAATTATATTTTTGTATTTTCATTTTGTATTTTATTTTGTACTATTTTGTTTGTTTTTAATATAACAGTGACTTACTGACAGGTATGATTTACGTTTAAGGTTTTTCCCAGGGGATCAGGAGATCACAAGTTTGATTTCTGGTGATCTTGCAAAAAGACTCCTATAGTTTGAAACCAGGTCATCAGTATCAGCTATAAAGTGTTGGCCAACTGACATATGAGTCAGGCTCTAATTTTTTTTTTTTTTGGTTAAAATTTCACTTTTTAAACAAAGCTGTGAATAGACCTGATTTATTAAACTAAATAATATTTGTTTACTCAAAATATCATGCAATCTGTACAAGTGTGTCACTTTCAATGCTTTTTATGGGACCATTCAGCAAGTTCTTAATGAAAAATCTTTATACCTCGAAAAGTCTCTACACTTTTAAGTATTAATTGTTAACCACTTTTTTACATAGAAATGCTGACCTACTTTTCATATTAGAAAATTGTGATTTACAAAGATGTACAGCCAACCTGTACAGAAGGGCTGTGTTATATCTGAGTGGCACTGTAATAACTGTGTGTCTGAACAATCCAATGAGATTTACGCATGAGACTGATGTGTATAACTTGACAGATATCCTTTCTGTACAGCCATACAGTGAATCTTTACTTTGGTAGCGGTAGAGGTAGAAGTATCTGTCTCTGTTAACGCAAGATTCTAGACGTGTGCTTTGCAGCACACATAAACATGAAGACAGCAGTGGAGATAAGCCCTTGTATTTGCTTTGCATATCAATCCATATCCATCAGCAACAGTACAATATATTTCCCATTTGATGACAGCTAATAACAAAGGAGTGTCCAATCTAATCTGCAGAGGGTCAGTGTGGTTGCAGGTTTTCATTCTAATGAATAGATGCACACATGATCAATTGTTTAAAGATTGAGACTAATTGAAATTAATGTAAAGTTGGGTGTGCTCCTGCTTGCTTCGAATGATACCAGCAGCCACACCAGCTGTTTGCACATAAGATTTTACACCCAAGCAGTAGATTCTCATGAAGGATGTCAGTCATAGCCCTGAACTAAACTGTCCTTCGCCTGCCCAGAGAGTATTTCAGCCCTCTCTGTCTCACTTGTGTGGGCAGTGAGATGGAGTATGCGTTGTTTTGATAATGGCTGTATTAATTAGTATTTTTGGAGAATTTTGTACAGTTCATGATTTATCATGGCTCTCTTTTCATTGTGGATGTGAAACCAGAACAAAAGATCAGAGTGATTTTAGAGCAAGGAACTTTAATTTGCCACCAAGACAGAAAAAAAGTTAATGTGTAAGTACATTTTTTGTTCATCAAGGTACAAACAATGTAAATATGCCCTTAAAGGTACAACAATGGTTTTAAGGTCCAACTGTGTACCTTAAATAAGTTTTGTTTTTGTTTTTTTTTCCCCAGGGAAAAGGTACATAAGCGAATGTTTTAAAAAACAGCAGTAAAATAAAAAGGCTGGAGTCAAGACAGAGTCTACGAAGTCAATACAACTTAAAAAATTATAATAGCAGATGATTATGGTACAATTATGTTCCCTAAGTAAAGGTACTAAAAACATACCACCCTAGTGACCACAGGGGTACTGCCCCAGTGACAGTTTAGTACCTTTTTATGAGATTGTAGTCCATGCTTCATCCATGGCCACCACATCTTTTGTCAGAGAGCAGCTGAATGCATTTCATTTGAAAGAGAGCCCTAATTGCCCATTTCTGTTTCATTCATTTGGCTTTGGAGCAACAAGTCGTGGCATACAAAAGAAGACTGAATGATACTGTCATACTGAACTAGGTCAATCATTTGAAGTAATTCAGTAATTATTACAGAAAGCTATGAATGGGTATTGACTTTTTTGCTTTTTCATACTCTATTGTCAATTGTACTCAAGCAGACTTAAACTAAATTCTTTTCTTATAACTATGTGCTAAATAATACTAAATAATAATTCTGCAAATCTTGACAAGCTTTCAGCTATTACACCAGCTTACAAACCACAAATTACAATTTAACCATCCTAAATTGCTCCAGAGTACTACTTACAGTTGTGTACAAAATTTAGTTTTGTTGATGTGGCATTTTCTGCAAATATTAGTGCACAAGCTTAACATATTAGGAAAAAATGCATAACATTTGCACAGGCCAAATTTGATGTTTCATTCTTTCCTTTAATATGTTAAATTCAGCAAATACACAGTGATTGTGCATTAAAATCTGCAGAATTTTGTTTTCTGTAGCAGATGTGTACTTATTTTGTTGCATTGCCTGAATTGAATGCTTGTAAGAATGACTTTTCTCTCCCTGTTGATTGGCAGCTTGCTGGAAAGTAGTGGTAGTAACCAGGATGATGAGCACTGTCTCATCGCCCGCTATGCTTCCCGATTGGCTGCTGACCGAACATCAGTGGTAAATCAATCGCAGAGCACCCACATATTTGGAAAGATGAATCATTTATTAATGTCCAGAGGCAGAAACTAGTTTTACTAGTAGTTTTTTTTTCATTTCATTCTCCTACTGTGGGTTTGCATTATTTTGGTGTATATCTAAAAGCTACAGGTAGATGTCAGTAAACTGCTGAATGAAAAGTTTTTTATTTGTATTGCAGCAAGCCAGAGCCCCAGGTGAGATCTCTGTGTCCCTGGACACGAACAAACAACAGAGGCAGCTCATTGCTGAGCTGGAAAGCAAAAACAAGTAAGACAGGAAAATCCCACATGACATACTGCACACCGCATTTAACATGTACATGCACTGCATGAATGTTCCATTCCATTTGTCCGTTTGTCAGAAGAACATGGATGGTCACTTATTTCACAGCTATTCATTCAAGTATCTTAAGGCTACGCAAAGACTGTGTCAAAGAGTATGCTGTCTATGTCATGTGTTCACAGGGAGATACTGCAGGAGATTCAGCGCTTGAAGCAGCAGCATGATGAAGCATCTCAGCCACCAGCTGATAAAGGCCAGCAAAATCCTACACTGCTTGCAGAGCTCAGACAGCTTAGGTACACAACTGCATGCACAGACTCAAAACAACACTTTGTGGAACTTTTTGTGACTTACACCGATGAGGAACCCTCAAGGCCTTCTGGGCCTTCTGAAAGGCACCTAATGATTTCTGAGAAATAAAAAAGTGTTCATTTTTATTTAATATAATTAAGCTCATTGTATTTAAATTCTGAAAGTATTGTAGTCATAGTGTTATTTCATTGTTAAATTTTGGATGGATGCAATAAGGTTAAATTCTTAAATTCCTAACAGAAAATAATCAGCAATTTTTTCCATGGTATCTAAGTATCTAAGTAACACTAGCTGTCATATTTTAGAGCTTCAGGAGCTGACCTGAAGACCTAACATGTCAGATTAACTACTAACATAATACAGAAGTGACAGTGGAATCAACCAGTCTCCAGTTATGTGTTGATTTCCAGTGAGTGGGGACAATATTCAGAATCAGAATCAGCTTTATTGGCCAGGTATGCTTACACATACAAGGAATTTGGTTTTGGTTGCAGGAGCTCACAGTGCACAGTATCAGACAGACATTTACATGTAGTAAATAAAATTCAATAAAATAAAATACAATACAAAAAAATAAAACATGCATTCCTACCATCACTCACTCATACACACACACACACACACACACAGTCATACCTGTAACCTTTACATTGTGCAAAGTATGGGTCTAAAGTTAAAGTGCTGAGTGCAGCAGCAGTTAAAGGGTGTATAGTGGCAAAGGAAGGGATCAATGAGGTGACAGTCAGATAAGTGGGGTAATATGGCAGGTAAGTAAGATGCTAGAATAAACACTGGTCTGAGATGGTAGTTTCAGAGGATGGAGTTGAGTTTGATACTATATACCAGTATTTTAGAAGTGCAGTTTAGAAGCTGGAATATTTTAATATGTAGTATTTTAACTGTTCAAGAGAGTGATGGCTTGTGGGAAGAAGCTCCTTTGTAGCCTGGATGTTCTGATCCTCATCTGGCTGAAGCGCCGGCCTGAGGGAAGGAGCTGGAACAGGTGGTGTCCGGGGTGGGACGAGTCAGTGGAGATCTTCTCTGCGTGCTTCCTGGTTCTGGAGGCAGAACAGTGTGGGCAACTTAAACCCAATTGTCCTCTCTGCAGACCTGATGATGCGCTGCAGTCTGTGGAGGTCATGCTTGGTGGCTGAGCTGCCCCACACTATGATGGACGTGGTGATGACAGACTCTATGATGGCTGTGTAGAATCGCACCATCAGCTCCTGGGGCAGGTTGAACTTCGTCAGCTGACACAGGCAGTACATCGTCTGCTGGGCTCTCTTGGTGATGGAGCTGATGTTGCTGTCCCACTTCAGGTCCCTGGTGATTGTTGTGCCCAGGAACTTGCAGGACTCTACTGCCACCACAGTTCTGTCCAGGATGGTGAGTGCTGGCAGGGTTGGAGGGCTACTCCTGAAGTCCACTGTCATCTCCACTTTTTTCGCTGTATTCAGCACCAGGTCGTTGTAGCTGCTCCACAGGACCACCTGATCAACTACTCGTCTGTAAGCAGACTCGTCACCATCTTGGGTTGAGACCAATGACTGTAGTGTTGTCTGCATACTTCAAGATTTTGACTGAGGGGTCTGTGGAGGTACAGTCGTTCATGTACAGTGAGAAGAGCAATGGTGAGAGTACACAACCCTGTGGAGCGCCCGTACTGATGATCTGGGTGTTTGAGGTGAACTTTCCCAACTTCACCTGCTGCTCTCTGCCAGTGAGGAAGTTGATGATCCACTGGCAGGTGGCGGTTGGCACGCTGAGTTGGAGTAGTTTGTTGTGTAGCTGTCCTGGGATGATCGTATTAAAGGCTTAGCTGAAGTCCAAGAACAGAATTCTTGCACACGTTCCTGGGTGTTCAAGCTGTTGGAGAATAAAATGGAGTCTCATGTTCACTGCGGGGGTGTCTAGCAGAGGATCTGTGATGTTCTTCAGATGGGAGAGCACCAGTCTCTCAAAGGATTTCATGACTACAGAGCTCAAAGCAAAGGGTCTGTAGTCTTTCAAGCTTAAAAAATCTTATACCAAAGTGCTGGTGTGGCTGCACAGGTTTTCATTCCAATCAAACAGAGGTACACTTGTTTTTACTTGTTTAATCACTTGGTCTTAGTCTTCAAACAAGTGGTGAGTTGTTTGAGGTGAGCTCCTGCCCTTTGTGGATAACATTGTTATTCCCTGCTCTAGACTTGTCACACTTAAATGTTTCAGATCATCAAACTATTTTTAATACTAGACAGAGATAAGCTAAGTAAGCACAAAATGCTGTTTTTAAAGGATGATTTTATTTATTGAAGGAAAAATGCTTTTCAGCCCTATCTGGCCCTATGTGAAAAAGTAATTGCCCCCTTAGCTACTAAATCAACTAATTAACCAAATTCACTGACTGTCGACTATTGACTATCGTGATCAATTTCACCAGCCATAACCAGGCATGATTACTGCCAGACCTGTTGAATCTAAACATCTCAAATAGAATCTTAAACATCTTAAATAGAATGTTTGGCAATGTGAAGCAGGCTAGAAGATCTCAAAAACCAGCGCATGATGGCATGTTCTAAAGAGATTAAAATACAGATGCGAAACAAAGTCATTAAAATCTACCAGTCTTCAAGGTGCGCGGAAGGCAAGCATCAAGACTGTTCTCTGTGCTGGCACCCAGGTGGTGGAACGAACTCCCACTGGCTGTCCGTACAGCAGAGTCTCTCGCTGTCTTCAAACGCAGACTGAAGACACATCTCTTTATACAGCACTTAAATGAGCACTGAATTAAGTATTGATTGTAATGTATTGTACTGCACTTATGTATTGTATTGTATTGCACTGCTCTGTGTTTAATTCTGTTCCTTTTTCTCTAGGTGTCAATAATGACTTTCTGATTCTAGCAGTATCTGAGCTCAGGACTGGCTTTCTTTCTAACCTATTGGTAACTAGCAAAGATACTTTCTCTGGATAGACAAAGCACTCTGGATAAGAGCGTCTGCTAAATGCTGTAAATGTAAATGAAAGGCTTACAAAGCCATTGCTAAGGTTCTGGGACTCCAGCAAACCACAGTGAGAGCCATTATTCACAAGTGGAGAAAACTTGGAACAGTGTTGAACCTTCCCAGGAGTGACCAGCCTACTAAAATTTCACTAAGAGCTTATTGACGACTCTTCCAGGAGGTCACAATATCTTAAGAACTGCAGGCCCCATTTGCCTCAGTTAAGGTTAATATACACAATTCTTCAATAAGAAAGTCACCGGGGCAAAAATGGCATCCAGTTGCAAGGCGCAAACCACTGCTGACCAAAAAAGACACAAAGGCTTGTCTCGCATTTGCCAAAAAACATCTAGATGAGTCCCAAGACTTTTGGGATAAAATTCTGTGAACTGATGAGCCAAAGGCCAAGCTTTTTGAGAGACATGGGTCTTGTTACAGTCTGTATGCCTTGCGATGGACTGGTGACCTTTCAAGGGTGTTTGCTGACTTCCGCCCATTGACCACTGGGATAGGCTCCGGCTCCCCTGCGACCCAGAAGGATAAGCAGCTTAGACGAGGTGTGTGTGTGTGGGTCCTGTTAAAAGCGTAAAGCTAACACTGCCTTCCACTGTAAGACATCATACCAACAGTCAAACATGGTGGTGGTTGTGTGATGGTCTGGGGCTGCTTTGCTTCTGCAGGACCTGGACAACTTGTCATAACTGATGAAACCATGAATTCTGCTCTGTAAAAGACTCATTGCAAATTATCGCAAACATTTGATTGCAGTTGTTACTGACAAGATATTGCCTCAGTTGGTGTTTTGATGATAGTGGTGAAGAGCGCTATCTAATATATGGGTCCAACATCTCCCATAGGTGTTCAGTTGGGTTGAGATCTGGTGACTGCAAAGGCCATAGTTTATGATTTATATAATTTTCATACTCATCAAATCATTCAGTTACACCTCATGTCCTGTGGATGGGGACACTGTTATCCTGGGAGAGACCACTCCCATTAGGATAGAAATGTTTCTTCTTAGGATAAAGGATAACTTGGTATTGATTTGCTACAAAGGGGCAAAACGGAAACAAACCACACCAGAAATATGCCCCCCACAGCATAACAGGGCTGCCGGACCTTCCCCCTGTAGGGATCAAGCATTCAGGCCTGTACTGTTTTCTTGGTGTATGGCACACATACATACACCCATTTGTTGAGAAGAGAGTGAAGCATGAGGATTCTGTTTCTCTTCTGTTTTTCCTTACATATCACACTAATACATGAACGTCACTGTCATTGAATGTGCACTTTCAACCACCATTTCCAGCCCTATTTACTGATGTCCTTTCCATACATCTAAATGCAGATATCACTTTAATCATTTATTATGATTCTCTCCACTCGTTTATTCAGGTTTTCCTTTCATTTTTTTACTTGTCTGTAGCTCTTGATGCAAGCTCAATTTTTAAGAATGCGTGTACCCTTTTTCTCCTCTTTTCACACCCCAGGTTTTCAATGCTTTTCTTACTAAAAGTTGTCCACTTAAATGTGATTTGATGGCACAATAGAATCAGACTTTGTGGATCTGAGAAGTGTGATCTGTAATCTGTAATGAGTGATGGAAAGTATGGAAAGCTATTTCAAACCTTCTCTTTTCTTCGTCTCTCACTATTTATTTAACTAGACAGAGGAAAGAGGAGTTAGAACAGAGGATGTCTGCTCTTCAGGAGAGTCGAAGAGGACTCATGGTGCAGCTGGAGCAGCTCATGCTACTGTTAAAGGTAGACAACAGATGAGATCCTCACAGTGACACAGCGTTGTCATTTTAGCAATTATCATCTTTCATTTGTGTGACCATGGCTTCAGGAGGGGCCACATCATGCTTGTTTCAGAGGATTACTAAGTCCTGTAGGATTTGTTGCTCACTGTGACCAAGACCTGCCTACTTTGACTGGAAGATATCATTTCACTGACATGTAAACTGACGACCAACCACGAACAATTGTTTTTGCATGACGTGTGTGGGCTCGCGATTGTTGACAGACCTGAGTGAAACAATGTGCTAAACATATCTCTTTACTAGCCACTAACTGCTTCAAAAAAGCTTTAAGCTTTTAAGTCACGATGCCAGGAACTTCACAAACTTTTTTCAATCCAGCAACTATATCTTGACGAACAGTGCTAAAATAAGCCTACTCTAGGACATAACCTAACATAACCTAAATATCTGTTTTGGCTTCTCCTCAACACAAGTCCTCTCTCTGTCCTTAATGGAGAGAGCTAGTCTGAGTCTCAAAAGATTCGAAAGCAGATACTTTTAAAGTGAACTATGTTTTTCCTTTGGAAGTTTTACTCTTTTTACAGTGGCATGCAGTGAATGAAGTTGTATCTCTTGACACTTAAAGCAATAGTTCCATCCTCTGTAGATAAAAATGGGAATTAGAATACACTGTGCTTTCCTTTGTAAAATGCCCCACGAATACCAAAAGTGTTCACCAATCCTCACCCTGGAGAATTTCCTGCAGAGTTTAGTTCCAACTTGCATCTACTACTGTGTTCAAGTGGTGACGAAAACTAGGAAATATCAATTTTCCAACATGTAAATTGCATTCAGCCAAAAAAAAAGTTGTTTTTACAAGTTGAAAATTCAGGATTCTCAATGATACATTTAGAATTCTACATTTGAATTATAGATTTAGTTTACCAGATCTGACGTATAACGCAGCCTTTCACCTTTTCCACCAAAAAACGGTAAACATGTCAGTAAATGTGAAAAATATACATCTGATTCACTTCTGTGTGATTTAAATGGTTTTTAATATAGCAAATAAAGACGGGACAAGTATTCTTCAGGCCTGCCTGTTTAATTTTTCCATAGCATATCTTTCAGCAAACACCCAAATGGAGTGAAGTTGTATTTATTAGTTAACCATCTGGTATATACAACCTACTAATAAGCATTTGAATGCGGCAAATAATGCAGCAGCCCCTTACCTAAGGCTAATGCATCTTATTCAGCCAATCAAGGACTGAATGGGGCAGATTGTGGTTGCAACTACCCTTGGCAGGAATGTGGCTCTCCAGGACCAGGGTTGGTGACCACTGTTTCAGATCCACTAAAAGACCACAATAGTGATTTTAAGTCTAATAATTTTGTTTAGAGGAACAAGAGCTGAAGCAAGCAGTACATTTATGACACCTGCATTGAGTATGAAAACATATACAGTCAAATAGAATTATTGGCACCCCTCATGAAAATGAAATATCAATATAGTTTTTAATTTTGCATAATATTATTGTAAAAATGAATATATTAAATAAACCACACAAGCAATAAGTATTACTTTGGACTTAAGTAGTTGGGTAAGGTGTTTACCCAGAGGTGTTTTAGAAACAAAAATCTTTATATTAAGACTTTATTAAAACATGGATTTCAACAATATTGGCACCTCCATTACTAATATTTGGTGAAGCTTCCCCTGGTGAGAATAACAACACTGAGCCACTTTCTGTAATACTTTCTGTAGCTTAACAAGGTTTGTGAACACTTGCTGAGAGATCTTGGACCACTCCTCCATGCAGAACTTTTCCAGTTTCTTATTATTCTTGGGACTTTGCATGTGGACCTTGCTGAAAGGTCCACCCATGGCTAAGTTTCAACCTTCTGGCAGAAGCAGAGAGATTGTGGTCTACAATCTCCCGGTATTTAGTGCAATTCATTATGCCCTTTTTTTCATAAGAGACCCTGGACCACTAGCAGCAAAACAGCCCCAAAACAGCCCCAAAACATAAATGATCCACCACCGTATTTGACAATGGGTATCAAGTGCTTATTATTGTATACAGCCCCTATTTTGTGCCATACATGACAATGGTGGTATGACCAAAAAGCTGTCTCATCTGACTACATTGCATGATTCCATTTGTAGTAGCAATGACATTTTGCAAAGTTCAAGTGCTGCATTTCATGGCTTGCTCTATGGAAAGGCCTCTTTTGTTGAACTTACGTAAAAAGTTTTTGATTGTTGAGGTGGCATCTGACAATGGATTTTGAAATGTAAAAAACCCAAGGTTTAACTAAACTCTGCAGTTCTGAAACTGTGATTGTGGGTTCCTCTTTGCCTCTCTTACCATTCTCTTCATTGTAAGTGGTTGCAGTATGCTCCTGCATCCTCTTCCTGGCAAATTTTTAGCTGTTCTGCATGTTTCAAGCTTTTGTTTTTATTATCACCCTGATTGTGCTTAAAGGTAATTTCAACTGATGACTAATTTTTATAAATATTTCCTAATCTGTGCATGTCTACAACCTTCTGTCTGATTTGAATTGACAGCTCTTTGATTTTACTCTTTTTGATGGATGACAAAGGTATTTTACATGTGTGTAACTTCATATTTTTACCCCAGAAAATGGTCATAGACAACAACGAGACTAGGAGCAATTAAAAGAAATACCACCCAGTGTGTTTTATTTTAAATATTCTTTAGGGGTACCAATAATTTTGCCACATATGTTTTAGGCAGGATACAACATTCTTAAAATAACCTAAAAATAACAGTCTTGCAAAAATGTTTTTCAGTTAGATAAAGGTAAGCAAACATCTCCAAACATCTTCGAGGAACATTTGCATCATTATGTGTATTGTTTATTTTATATGGTTGTTTTTGCCCAGTTTCTTGATGGGTGCTAATAATTCTTTAATTTAATGCATAAGCCCCTTAAAATTACTGAAACAAAATCAATCGCTTCGGAATAACACATCTATGTGTGAATGCCTGATGTGATTGCTTCTTTTTATATTAATACATCATACTTACTACTATTTTGACTCTGGTGTGGTGTGATATTTGGATAAAAGGGAAAAACTGTGTGCCACTTAGGTATTATTAAAAAAAAATAATGGTGATTATAAAAGGAACCAGAACCATGCTCTAAACAGGGCTATTTTTGTCATTTGTCAAACCTAAACTGATCACATATCTGTGTTAGGCAGAACACATTGGCTTTGAGAGCCTCACCGGGTTTCAGTCATTTCAAAGAGCAGGATTGCTAAATTGTTTGATTGCTCAATGAAGTGTAGGCATCTTTATGGCTTGATTAGTCTGAATGCTTTCACATTTCACAAGCAGCAGACATTCTATTTTGTGATCATGGTATGATCACATAATAGTATGGTAATCAGATAATCACTGAGATGGGAACGTTGATTAGATTACTGGTGAGTGAATGCTTACCTAGATGATTGTGATTGAATCAGCCATAGGGGCTTTACTAGTTTACCAAGGCTAGGCTTGTTAATCAGGACTGAGCATGTGCATTCTTTTAATTAATTTTTTGTTGTATTTTGTTTTGTTGTATTTTTTGTCCCTTGTTTGTGACATGTTCCATTTCTTTCTGTGTCAGATTCAAGGCCCTGCATCCTCCCCTCGCTCTTCCCCAAGCCACACAGTGAGCAGCTCCATTCCGATGCCTGTCCAGTCAACATCTGGTAACACTACGCCCAGTCAAATACCTCAGGATTCGCTCATGGGCCTAGGAGGAGACGTGCAGCAGGCCTTTGCTCAGAGTAACTATGGCAACACCACAATCTCTTCCCTAGAACTTTAAGGGCAGACTGTCCAGACAATGCCTAGACCTGGACTAAAAAGACTTTTTAGTGGAGAATTTCAAAACCGGCTTTCACACTTATATTACACTTATATACACTATTGATCTAGATCAGCCCCCCTGCCCATAGTTGATGTTGATGCTTTATTTGTAGTTTGAGTACTGTAAGCCTGATATCACAGTTGCTTTGTGTGAAGATTTTGTGGGGGCTGCAATGATCAGCACAACACCACAATGGTAGAAGGTCTTGTTTGTTTTATTTTCTCTCTCTCTCTTCTTCTTTAATTTGTAAAAACTTTTTTTGACCAAGATGCATAGTGCTGGGCTTGTGGCATAGAAGCCGAAAAAGCAAGCTTATTGTTGTTTAATGATGAAGTTGTCTGTATACTACTATCCCAGAGTTTGGATTTAGATTTTTTTTAGTTGTTTTTTAACCTTTTTAATAAAAAAAGGTATTTTCAGAAGTTTTGTTTAATATTTTAAAGTATTTTGGGGCATCATGAAGTTATTCAATGATAAATCATTCTGTTGTTATATATGTACCATTATTTATTGGTTCTAAGTTGTCTGCCTCAAGATTTGATCATTACTTTTGAAATAAAGCATTCTGATGTCTTTCTCAGAGCTATGCCGCTTTCTCAGTTATTTTAGAACCTTATTCAGCTCTGTTTATCATTCTTACACACTTCTAAAGTGTCTTTCACTTCCTAGTTTTTGTATTAAATATTTGAAACATGGCACATCAGAATAATTTTATATAGGTGTGAGCTGATATGGAAATTGTAGGCCAATGCCAATATCTGATATTTTTCATGTATGTTTCTGCCAATGCAGAAACAAAAACTGTGGTATTTGGGTCTACCTGGATTAGCATTACAAGTGTAACATTTATTTCTATAGGGTTACAAATGAAGTAAAATAAATAAACATTTAGTGCAGTAGCCCGGTGTCACCTAAATGTTCTCTTCTTTTGGAGTACAATAAATACATCATGAATTTTTGCTGATATGATTTCGATATCATTGTGCATCCTTAGTTTTAAACACTGTTCTGCAAAAAAAAAGTTTATATTTTGGTATAACATAGAAATGTTCATAGGCTTATTTCTTTTCCACTGTTACAGGATTTCGTGTTCCATGGTATAAAATGTTTCTGATAATGAAATAAATGAATAAATAACAAGAAAATAGTGCATTTGCCATCCCCTCCATCATAGTGTTGACAATTTGCTGCCACATCAGCAAGACACAACTTTAATAAACTTCAATTCTTGCTCTTCATTGTGCTATAGGCTCCAGACGCAACTTAAGAAATGACCTGCTCGTGGCTGCAGACTCCATAACCAGTACAATGTCTTCACTGGTTAAAGAGCTCCACTCAGGTAAACTGCTCATTGAAACTTTAAAACTCAGGAATACTTGAAGCTAGTAGGTTGTTCTGGGAGCTGCAAGACATACAATACGTAGCGAGACGTAAAATACGAAGCTCTCTGTTGGTAAACAAGCACGTTCTGAGGGAGGCTTTAATGATATACAGGGTAACGGTCTGAAACACTGCCCTCTGTTGGCTGACAAGGCACCATTCTGTTTATTTCTATTGAGGTGTAATCTCGCTGTCCACTTAGCCCAGTAAAGTTTGAAAGCTTTAAAGGGAGAGAACATAAAATGTGTAGGTAAACATTTCTGAACTCATAGCATAAGGTTGTGTTTTTATTTGCACCATATCTTTTCTAGAGGCGGGCAGCGAGAGTGACAGTAATGTTGATACAGAAACTGAATGCTCAAAGTTTGATGACTTCACATCTGCCGCTGCAGAAAGCCTGTCTGCACAACTCGGCCACTCCAAAGCATGGTAACCATAATCCTACTAGCCTGGTTCTAGATTGTCTCAACATCTGAGAGAAATCACTCGTAGCAGCACAGTCCTAGAATAGGAAAAAACACTTGGGTAGCAGCTAATGCTGTAGTAATCGAGTCTGGTCTCAAGACATTCCTTTATTTTCTTGGGCTTGTCTTGAAGTCAGTGTATGCTATTTAAAAAAGAACATTTATTTGTATTTTCTTTCAATACAGAATGTACATTGAATGCAAATGTAATTCAAGACATAATTATATAATTAAATATGTAATGATACAGTTTGGGTTAAACATTCTAGAAAAATAAAAGTTTAAAAAAATGAAAGACAGTTCTAGAATTTGAGTAAATCTGTAGGGATATAACTCGCCACCAAACAATTTCAAAAGATCAATTTGGATTAGCTACAGTTAAAGATTAGACTTCTCAAGCTTTATTTTCTCTCTCATTTGGACTCTTGGCCCCCTTTAGACTTGGTTTTGACTCCATAGTCTTGGACCCAAGTCCTGTCTTCTTTTAGACTTACTGCATTCACATATTTAAATTCTTTTTTAACATGCACCAAATTTTTGTGGTATTTTGTCTGTTTCTAGTGGCCAGAGGTAGCCTTAAGACTAGTATTTAAACAGTGCTCTATTCCAGAAATGGATAGCTGTTGACAGGGAAGGCTGATTAGCTTTTCACCTTTATTAATTAATCAAGAGATCTTCTCAATCCCAGCCCTATAGGCCCCATGCATTTTTTTTTGTTTTCTTTTCACTACCACTGATTTATCAGGTAATTAGCAATCCTTCCTTTACCTGAATCACACCAGTTAAAAGTATAGTAGGCCGACTTTGTCTCCAGGACTGGAATGGAGAACTGCTGCAGTAACACGTTGTCAACAGTAGGTGTCATCATCAAACAAAAAACATAATTCCATCATTTTACAATCGGAATTGTGGAAAGGGTAAGGAAGAACATGTTCTGAGTCAGTTATAAACAGTAAAGTAAACACATGTATCTGGTCCACTAAAATGCAAAGAAACTATCCAGATTCAAATAGGGGCAAATAGGGGGTTGGGAGGATCTAATTTTTGAATTTGTTATCAACCAATTTCCTTAATTACTCATGTTTAAAATAAATGTGAGACAAAAAGTCAAAATAATGCAATTGTCTTTTTTTCTATTTAACATATACTTTTACTTTACTGGTTGGTCCAGCAGGATGACAAGTGAAGAAGGCTACGAGAACACATTAGAGCAGCAGCTGGAGAAGGAGTTGAGAATGGAGGAGCAAACAGCAGCAGGAGAAAGTCTACATGGTGAATATACACTTACACGCTTATATTCACACATACGTATTCACAAATATACTCACAGTACTGCAAAACAGACACCACCCTTCATTTATTTAATTTCCAGTTAAAATGGCCATGAAGTGCAATCGTTTTTCAGCATCAGGAAAAAGTAAGAGAGAATGCACAGAAGCCTCAACAACTATATGATTTAGTGTGTCCGTGTTTACCTTTAATACATCTTTCAGTCTTTTTAAGAGACTTGCTTTCAGGGAAGTCTGCATGGATGTTTTTCCTCTTCTTGACAGCTACACATCTTTTCACATCCATAGTGTTAAGTTTTCTTCTCACAGTGGAAGGACGGACAGAGATGGATTTTTTCAGATCTGAAGCAAGAGTGGAGCTTGATTTTCTTGTCTCTCTTAAACAGTATTTAAAGCTTTCATCTTTATCTTATGATGACAGTTGACATATTTTTTTTCAACTTCAGGTCTGTGTTTTCACTAATCATCTTTTGACATTTCCCTTCCTTATGCAAGTGTATTATTTTATATCTAATCTCTTCAAAAAGAACTCCTGAAAATAACCTGTGCTTATTAGCCATTTTTGCCTATATTAAATAAATGAAAGTGGTCTCTGACTTCTACTCAGTACTGTATGTTCAGAAGAAAACCTGTTCACCTAAGAGCAAGTTGGTGTAGTGAATACTCAAATGCTTATGATGTAAGCATCATAATGCTTGATGTTATGATGTTAATTAAGATTAAGATTTTATACAAACAGCTTACACATCTCTCTACACATCAGTATTGCAGATTGCTGCATGAAACTTGTTCTATGGTGCAAATTTTGCAGACCTGCAGAGGTAAACCTTTTTAGAAGGAAGATGCCTCTTCCACCTTGTCCTCCCGCCTGGTGTGTTTTGTGCAGTGTCTTTCTGATGGAAACTGCTTGTTGACACTGATTGTGATGAAAGATGCCTGTAGGCCCTAAGATGTTGATGCAGAATTGTTGGAGATTGCCTTAGGCCTCTTTCAATCAATGAGAGGGGTGGAATTAGGAAGCTGTACCTGGTAGACTGCAGGTGAATTTTCAACAATTGGAATAGCTTCCTATTATCTGTGTGGCAAAATCTTTCTGGGGGCCTCCAAGAGCTCAGTTAATCATAATACGATACCACTCACTAGTATAGTTCACAAACTGGAACAATTTACAAAGCTGGTCCTTCAAGCTGTTACCTGGTAACATGCCAATCATTTGAACTTGCTCTTGTGCAACTAATGCAATTTATCTCAAAGCATTGAAATGAGATTCAGATGTTTTAATATATAGTCATAGGCAAACATATGAATATCCCTAGTCAAATGACATGTTGATTATAAGTGATAATAAGTAAACACATATTTTACAGAGAACAAACTCAACTATCACTTTTTTCCTGATAATTTTAGTGCACAAGTTCTGTTTATTTGCATGAAAATGTGAAGTATACAATGTGCCATAACCTTTCCACTGGACACATTTGAGGTTTGCTTTTTTCCATGTTAAATTCAGTACATTAACGATAAGTGTGCATTCAAATATGTAGAGTATGTGTACATATGTTCATGTAATTTGACCAGGACTGCCCAAACATTTGCATATGACTGTATGCTAAAGTCTTTCTAAAAGGTAAGCTTTTTAAAAGCTTACTTTGCCCTGCCAGAATATGGATAAAAACTTGTATATTAATCAGGTAACACATTACTTGAACCCTGCTACATAACATTGACATAAGATGTCATGGAAGACATCATATGCTGCCATGTTTTGTCATTAAATGTTCCAGTAACATACAGCAACAATACAGCAGTGTCCTGTTACTATTGTTTAATATCATGATAGCTAACTAGAGTAAAAATAGTGTGACATAAGCTGTCATGACATGAAACATTTTAATTTTATGGTAACATGACCCTGTTATATTACTGAACAGCAACTGCCATGACAGCATATGACATCTGCCATGACATGTTTATGGAACTGTTATGTCAGTGTTAGGTAAAAAAGGATCAAGTGTTACCATTAATCAAGCCACACATTATGATAACCTAAATTAATTATAAACATCCTTATTCTTTTTTTTTTTTCCAGGTGACTTTGCGACAGTGGCTCTGTTTTAATAGTAATGGTAAGTAAGTTGCCGTGACACACTATCGCAAAACAAAATGAGTGATTTATTATGATATAGGGTTGCATATTCTTACTGACTCAGATATTCTTTACAGTTGTGGTGATTGGAGCCAGTGTTCTAACATCTACAAATCAAATCAAGCTTAAATCATTGTTATTTACCACCCAAAATGACCAGTGATTCTACATGTATCTTTTTATCTTTTATATTTTATATATTCACCAAGCACTTTATTAGGAACACCTGTATACCTTCATGCATATACGGGCAAGCAGCTTCAAGTAAGGTTCACATCAACCATCAAGTCAAGTCAAGTCAAATTTATTTGTATAGCACTTTTTACAACTGATGTTGTCACAAAGCAGCTTCACAGAAATCCATTAAGGACAAACTTTTAACATGAAATGTAAATCCTCCAGGTGAGCAAGCCAGTGGCAACAGTGGCAAGGAAAAACTCCCTCAGAGCTGGGGAAGAAACCTTGGGAGGAACCAAGGCTCACAAGGGGGGACCCATCCTCCTCTGGTCAAACTATCTACAAAATTATTATACTACTAATATTAATAGTAGTAGTAGTAATAATCAGAATAGGGAAAAATGATCTCAGTGATTTTGACTGTGGCCCACACTCTGTACAACTGTGATAGAAAGAAAAGAAAGCACCTCAAAATGCACAACACGTCTAACCTTGAGGCAGATGGGCTACAACAGCAAAAGCCCACACTGAGTTCCACTTCTGTCAGCCAAGAACAGAAAGCTGAGGCTGCAGTGGGCACAGGCTCACCAAAACCAGACAGTTGAAGACTGCTGAGGCACACAGATGGTAGGGTCAGAAAGCATGTCAGAAAGCATGAATCCATTGCCCCAACCTGCTTTGTGTCAACAGTCACAAGCTGGTGGTGGTGGTGAAATGGTGTGGGGAATGTTTTCTTGTCACACTTTGATTTTGGTTAATATCAATCAATCTTTGCTTGAATGCCACAACCTATTTGAGAATTTTTGCTGACCACGTGCATCCTTTTGGACATCCTATTTCAAAACAGTTGGTATTAATTGGAGTTGGCCCCCTTTTGCAGCCACAGCAATCTCCACTTTTCTAGGAAGGCTTTCCACAAGATTTTGGAGTGTTTCTGTGGGAATCCACACCAAACTCTTTGAACCATGTCCTTAGGGATCTTGCTCTGTGTACAGGGGCTGAAACAGGAAAGGGCCTTCCATGGAAACCCATTTCATGAAACTCATGATGCACAGTTCTTGTGCTGATGTTGCTTCCAGAGGCAGTCTGAAACTCTGTAGTGATTGATGCAACAGAGGACAGGTGATTTTTATTTGTGCTACGTGTTTGAGCATTTGTGGCAACGGTGGCAACCTATGACAGGACCATGTTTAAAGTCACTGAGCTCTTCAGTATGATCTATTCTACTGCCAGTGTTTGTGGAGATTGCATGGCTATGTGCTTGATTTTATACACCTGTTAGGAGTGGTTGTGGCTGAAACACCTGAACTCCATAATTAGCAGGGTTGTCCACATACTTTTGGCCCTATAGTGTAGGTTAAATTGCTAATGGTAAAATAATGGTAAATGTACTTTTGGTACCCTGTCTGTGTTTAAAAGAAAATACATTTTATGCCAAAACCATGTCTCAAATCTATTGTACAGCAATGTCTCAATCATCAGGCAACGTATTCTCAGCCATATCTGTGAGGGAGCTTTCAGAGGCATTAAACACTTTGAATGTCTGGTTCCCATCACCTCTGCTGTGAAAATGTAGAGTGGTACATTTCACATCAGACCATTCTGAATTAATTTGTTTATATCATCAACAATTTAATTAAGCAGAAACTTTTAAAAAATGTTGAATTCCCCTATTAGAACAATTTAAATGTGTTTAAACTGTCTAGATTTTTTTTTTGGAAACAATTTGTGTCAAAGCACTTGGTAGCCTGTAGCATGATTGTCTAAGGTATGATTTTAAGAAAGACTGTGTTTCTTTTACAGGCAGGAGAGGATAAGGCAGTAATGAAGCACTGCCCAGCATCAACACGAGGCTCACAGAGCACATTTCTACTGAATCAGACAAGCACTAACACCACTACTGTAAATACACAAGTATCTTTATGGATCCTACAAAATGATTTAAGAAAATAAATACTGTGAACTGACTCAGAGGTTATGCACAGTAACACCACTAGTGCCATAAAACCAAATAGCAGGAGGTTATTTTATGTACTTTTTGTGAATGTGTGAGCTTTTTTTAAGTACTGTATTTTTAAGAAGTGGTGGGCAAATCAGGCTTAACAAAGCTGCTATGTTTAAAAATAGCCTACATGTTGATCCTCACACTGAAAATCCAGGCTGCATTTGCCTGCCACATTTGTTTCTCAGTATTACCTAAAAAATTAAGTTAGGAATGATGTAGTAGTGATGAAGTAGTTTGGTTTTCACTTCAAGTGTAATGCCTTGAGATTTTAAGGTAGTGTTTGATATATACATCCCAAATGACTATGCTGCCTTAGCTGATCAGATTGTCTGTCAAAAAAAAAATTGATCTTAGAGTTTACAATCATGTTTCAAATTATATTGCTATAAAATACTTTGAAACATTGTGATTTGCCATGTCATTTTACTGGAAGGCTTACATTTGCGTGCAGTCATTTAACTTAATGAATTTTAAGTGGTAGGGGAAATCAGTACCGTCCAATTTGTTGAAGTTCTTTTATACTGAATCCAATACATGGAACAGAAGTTTTAAAAGATACAGAGAGCTGCCCAAGGAGATTAGATATGAGATAATCCTCTTGCATAAGGAAAGTGAAAGGAAAATGAGTGAAAAGATAAACAGTACTTAAAGCTTTCATCTTGAGGCATAGGAAAAAATCAAGCTCCGCTCTTGCTTCAGATCTGTAAAAATCCACAGGTGTCCATCCTTCAACAGTGAAAAGACAAATCAGCACTATGGGTCTGAAAGCATGTGTACCCGTCAAGAAGTCATTTCTCAGAAAAGGAACTAGACAAAAAAGAAAATTTGCAGATCAAACAGTGAAGCTGCTGGTATTCTCAAAACAGTTGACTGGCTACATTATTGAAAGTGTTTGGGATTACTTGAATCATGGGAAGCAGAAAATGCAACAAGTCTAACTTTGGAGGTGAAGAAAAATATCCTTGGAGACTTCTTTAAAAAACTGAAAACAAATCTCCTGAAGGGAATGGAAGATGTAATGAAGGCAAAGGGTGAAAAGAATTTGATATTATATTGTAGTTGTTAAGACTACGGTGTAATTATCTGTTAAATATATGTTTTCTGCTTTTTTTCTGATGCTGTGAATATTTTGTACATGGTGGCCATTTTGACTGAAGATTAAATGAAGGAAGGACTTTTGCACAGTACTGTATATAAATTCTACACATTCTTTCCTGATAGTAGTGATTTCTTTTAGAAAAACAGTGCACTGGGAAAGAGCAGTTACTCAACGATTTGCTGAACATGACAACAATAGAAAACATATGGCATTACCCTTTCAGCCACCAGATCAGACCAGTCAATGATGACAAAATGGGAGATTCTTTGGAGAATAATTGCAAGGGTACAGTAATGGCTTACATCAGCTGTTTTTTTTCATATACTTTGTCTAAGTTACTCAAAGATTCCCATTTCTTTTGCGTTTACTATAAGTTAAATATGTAACTCATTCTGAAGGCAGGTACTAAGTGAATATGAGTTTGTTGATGCTCATTTTTCCATAATTCTGCTCAGGGGAGGCATTCATTCACCAAAATGCTGACAGAGTAATCAATACAAAGAGAATTACATTGGCATCTAATAGAAGTATGAAGTTTGGCAGACTTTTTAAATCACTTTAAATGATACTGACACTCTTTAGCTTCACTTACTTTTCAAGCACAGCAATTGTGAAATGTCTTATTCCAGTCTCTGGTAAACCAGTGTAACATCCACATCCACATTGAGAAATACTGTACCTTTATCATTTTGAACTGGTTTGTTACATTTTGCATGGCACAAAAATAAAGAGATTACATTGCACTGGTGTACTGATGGAATTAGATAACATCTTTACACTGTTGTAGGACTTGGTACGCTTTTGGTAAAAGGGATTTTTTTTATTTTGTTTTTGTATCTATGCCTCGCATATTGTCTTGAAATACAGAAGATTGGCCTTTACAATTTCCAGAATCAAATTAGCATCTTGGAGTCAAAAGGTCTCCAAAGCAGCAGTCACGAACGCTCCTCCAGGAGATCTGCTTTCCTGCAGAGTTAAATTCCAATCTGTGTCTAACATGCTGCTCCCACTTACACTATGTGGACAAAAGTATTGGGACACCTACACATTACACGTACAGGAGCTTTTATGACATCCCATTCTAAATCCATAGGCATTAAAATAGAGTTGGTCCCCCTTTGCAGCTTCCACTCCTCTGGGAAGCTTTCTACAAGATTTTGGAGTGTTTCTGTGGCAATGTTTGTCCATTCATCCTGAAGAGCATTTGTGAGGTAAGACAGTGATGATGGAAAATAGGGCCTGGCTTGCAATTTCCATTCTAGTTCATCCCAAAGGTGTTCGATGGGGTAGAGGTCAGGGCTTTGTGCAGCTAGCTAAATGTCTGGTGGCAGGTTTCTCCAGGACCAGTACTCTAAAGCAGTTATAAGAAATCTTCTCCATACCAACAAGCTCATTGGAAGGTTGTCTTTGGGAAATCTTCTCTCATCAAATGCTGGTTTGTTTTTGTCACAGACATCACTGTTTTGCTTAAAAGGGATCTAATGGTCTAAAAGCCTTGTGAACTATTAGTTTAATTTTATAACAAAATGTGTCTGCCTCAGCAGTAGCTGTGAAACTAGAAACTTGTGAAACCTTGGATCTTCTAGCAGATCAATGTTTTAAAGCATTCCTCTATATCCAAAGAAGAGTGGGTACAGAATCAAGCTGATGAGTAATAAACATCCAGGGCTCTGAGGGATTTGAAGATATTATATGTATTTCACTGCATCCAGCATTAAGAAACTCACTGCTGTTGTTTTCGCAAAGGGAGGATGGACCTCTACATAACAAGTCATGGGAGAGCATGCATGTGTTGAGCAGGTGTTTCCTTGCTGGAATGCTAGTCAGTAAGCCCCGGTGTGAATACTTTTTGTAGCAGAAGGACTTCAGGTGCATATTTGCTGCCTTGTGTATGCACCATTCTTTTAATAATTAGGATAATTAGCTGACCACACCCTCTCAGTACAAACAGTGTTCTTAATGTGGTTTATAAGGGTCCTATCTTTAAAGTTCAAATTAGACCACATGTCTGCACAGTTGCACATGTGCAAGTGGTCCAAGCCATGAGAAGGTAGTAACTCACAATGCATGCTTCTTGGACTGGATTACAGATGGAGGACCTTAAAGCATGTTCCAGGTGGCAAGCTCTGCTTCACTGAGTGTCAAGTTCAGCACAATTGCACAACGCCTAGTGTGTCTGTATAATTAGCCTCTATTTTGCCATTTTTACAGTTCTGTATCAATTGTTTTTTTTTTAGGTTGACCAATTCTACCAATTCAGGTTCTACCAATTCATCACTGATGTTTAATCCACACAACACCAAAGAAATAAACAGCAAGATAATTTCTCTGGCACTGTAACTTTACAAGTAAATTGCTATTCCCATAATATATGCCCCTGGCAGATTAGCCTCAGTGCATGCAAAATTTGCAAAGCAAAATGTTTTTTGAAAAGTTCGAACCTAATGTACATAAAATTTATGGATGATTGCTTTGTCTTACTATAAACTTGATGTAGAATGTGGTGTAGTGCCTTTGTTTTTGTTGGTGTTAGCCATGTAGCACATGCCAACTAGCCAGCAAGCTAAGTAAAGTAGTGAAGTTGTATCAGCAGTCAAGTATGAGAGATGGAGAAGTTTGCAGCCTACAGACCAGCAACTCATATGTTACAGTTTTGAAATATTAGAAATATTAAGCATTTTAAAGTAGGTTACTGCTATGGCTTCTGAACAGCTTTGTCCACCATTATTAGAACCTTTAGATTCTACGGTCCAAGCTTATGGACTCTCCTCTTCAACTCACCCACATGTTTTCTGTAAGGTTTAGGTCAGGGGACTGAGATGGCCGTGAGAACTACTTTGACTTTGTGGTCAGTGAACTATTTTTGGGTTGATTCAGATTCCTCCTCACTGTGCATAGCATCAATATAAACATATGTCCTCTTCCTAGCAGATTCTTAACAAATCCTTTTGTTTTAAACTTCTTAGTTATTGTGCTGATAAAGGCAAAGGGCATTTTCAGCTGTTTAACCATTTTCTTGTAGCCATTTCTCTGGTTTTTGTCATAGTGATGGATGACTAAACGAATTTTGCCCATGTGTCACCTCATATTTATACTCCAGTGAAACAGGAAGTCATGTCTGACCATTTAAGTGCTTCTACATGTAAAATTTTAATGGGAATATACTTTAGTTAGATTTCAGTCATAGGAATTTGTAGGGTTCCAACAATTGTGGCACACATAAATTTGAGAAAAATATAAGATTTAGATTTTTTCTTTCAATCCTTGTACTTCACATAAAGGTATATTCCATTTTTTTTTGTTAATTTTTTGAACGAAAGATGTAAAGGATAATCAATAAAGAATGTTTTTACAATCCATTTTGCTCATGTTTACCAGGGGTGCCAATGTTTGTAGAGGGCACTGTAGCAACCTTCAGCTAATAAAATAATGGAACAGCCCTTAAGACGGCAGGAAATATAAAGGCCAAGTGGACGAGGGCCTGAAACAGGCAGAGGATCACAACTAAATGTTTAATTTATTGTCTCTAAAATACTGTCCTTAATTCTGTTTTACCCAACCCAATGAGCAGGCAAATTTTGTGGTCAAATTCAACCACAATATACAATTGCCTAATTATTCACTTAGCAGTGAAATGTATACATAAAATTTGAACTACACATAAAAACACATTTTTCATACACATTGTTTCTAATATTTAGAATTTCCAAGCTAGCAAGGAAGCCTTCTCTGACTTCTCATTTATAATTAAAAACCTGACTCTGGAACTTTTTGAAGTTTTTTTGTTTGAAGTCTAAAGTCCTTAAAGTCATTCACATGATTCCGACATGCTAGTTTATTCATATTGAACATAATCATGTTGTTGTATCTAATCTCTGCAAGTATTTTAGTAATACAAAACTGTGGAAAACATAATTTATATCAGTTAACCATTTAAGATGACGCCTATGTAAACTGTATTCTAATATGACTGTTACAAGCTTCAAACGTCCAAGTTTAATTTAGAATGGCCAAAAAATGTGAATCAATTTTAGCTTGGGGCTAATGTACTACTGGAATCCCGTAGGGGCACCAGCAGGAATTAGCATTGCCACATGTGTGTTTTTCCACATTTTTGACCAAGTTCTGATACTTTATTCACAGTTAACTCTGATCAGGGTCTGCCACTGGGTATCAGGGAGGGTCTGTCAAACATGATATATTATTGGTTAATATCATTTTTCCCCTCTGGTGCAAGATGACGCAATTAAAATTCATAAGATGTTTTAGAGGCAGGCAAAACTAATAACATATTGACAAAAGGTTATAGGGGTTACAAAAGCAATTGCCTTAATATGACCAGTCCATGAACTAACAAGGTAAATTTGTAGTACGCCTAACAAAAATGTATCACTGTCTTAATCATCGTCTGGAATACAGACCCCGGGACTAATATACTGCACGTGCAGTTTTGCCAACAGCAATAGAGATAACAGCAATACTTCTGACATCTGAAAAAGATAAATTGCAATACTGCTTGGGATGGGGAGATGCCATTCTTGGTCCGAGTCCACGGATGCTCTCTGTGTCGGATGAAATTCAAGGCGTGGTCCGTTTATGACCAAACCTCTGCTGTGAGCATTACCTCGATGGAAACATGCGTTTAAAATGTGCTATTTATCAACACTTATGTTTCCACTGTTCTAATTTCCAACTATATTTAAGTTCATTCTCAAAGTGTAGCGCACATTTACATTACAATAACTCATGTATTAACACGGCACTGGAGTGTAGTTGGTCAAAAAACCCTCCTCGCGTCCACATGTCATGCCTACACCAATCGCTGAGAGGTGCTCCTCGTCAAATCGACCTCACTCGAAGAAAGGGTTTTTTCTTCACTACATTTGAGAATGACTGTTTGAGGGTGGGGTGACTAAGCGAAAGCGCATCTAGCCGAGTTTGGAGTTCAGTTTACGGGTGAGTCCGACGTTGTCTGAAAGTGTATGTAACTGGCAAAGCGATTTCGTGACTTCTCTGGTGTAGCTACTCCAGCAGAGCTGTCAAGTAACCGATATTTTTAACAACTGTAAAAAAAATCCAGAGAAGGCTAGCTTGTTGGCTGTGCTAGCGAAGCAGCAGCTGCTCTGAGTCAACTGTGTATTAGCTATTAGCTTTTATGCAATAATAGCTGTCACTGTTTACTGTGTGATCGCATTGCCAATAAAAACATTGATGTTATTTTGCAGTATTTACCGTCGACGGTTTTCTTTGGCTTGAAGCTCCGAGTCAATCCACTTTTATGGAATTTTGTTTAATGTTCTTGTCAGCTGGACATTACAGCATAAAACTAGCTGGTTAGCTTTTTTGCTAATAGGCTTCGTGTGTGCGTGCAGGCTGAGATAGCTAGCTAGTAAGAGTAAAACGATCTGTGCAGTAAGGCACTTGGTCACAGGCAACATGTTACAGATTGTTGAGTTGGGGAAAAAAGTGCAAGCTGAATGGCTACATTAATCTGGGTGGCTCCAAGCCCTGACTCAACAAGGCTGCTTTAACCAGAAGAGGCTGTTGAAAAAAGTCGTACAGTTTAAGTGAATTGTCAGCAACGTGGCTAAAGTTGTCTTCCAAGACAGTGCAGCAAATCAGTATGTTAAATATTTTTCCACTGTCACACCCTGATTACTTGAATGTCACGTTTTAACTTTGTTTCATTGCGTACATCATAGTGCTAACAGGTTTGGTCTTCTGTTAAACAGCAATACACCAA